GCCGAGGTGGGCAGGTCAGGAGGTCAGGAGATCGAGACCATCCTGGCTAACGCGGTGAAACTCTGTCTCTATAAAAATACAAAAAATTCGCCGGGCTTGTTGGCACGTGCCTGTAATCCCAGCTACTGGGGAGGCTGAGGCAGGAGAATTGCTTGAACCAGGGAGGTGGAGGTTGCAATGAGCAGAGATCGCGCCACTGTACTCCAGCCTGGGTGTCAGAGTGAGCCTCCATCTCAAAAAAAAAAAAAAGAAAAAAAAAAAAGTATCACAGCCCTCTGGCCAATCATTGAGTCAGGATGGGCACGTGCCCTAAGCAAGAGCCCAGCTTGTTCAGCCCTGAGACTTTTATTAGGGACTTCTTCTCTGGAGTTGCTGAAAGACAGTCTAGAACTGTCATGGCCATTGTCGCAACTACACGGAGAGTCTGTCTGTGGGTGAAAATGATAAAGAAGAGTGCGGAGTAGAGTGTGATACTGTGTACAGAGACACCATTTGAGCCCCTGGATTCAGCAATGCCTGAAGAGAATTTATTCTTAGACTCCCCAGTTATGAGTTAGTCAATTCTCTTTTTTTTTTTTGCTCAAAGAAAAAGAAAAAGATGAGGAGAAGGAGAAGGAAAATGAGAAGAAAAGTTATCTATGAAAAAATTATATATGCATGATGTCTTGAGTTCAGATATTGGGAATTTCATTTTTAATGGTGCAGCTGTTATTTAGATTTTGTTTTACTTCAGTACTAAACACAAAAATCAAAAAAACTTTCCAAAGGGAAATAATGTTTTGTTGTTTTTGCAGACAAAAGATGAATAGGGCACTGGCTCTGGTCTTAGACGGTGGGTCTCCGTGGAGTCACTATAAAGAAGATGCAAATCCAAGACTCAGCACATGTTTGCATGTCAGCAATTCATTAATATCTCTCTGTTAATTTTCTCCATCTGCAAAATAGCTGTAGCAAACCTTCTTTAGGGCTCATGGAGGTTAAGGGAGACCATTTATGTGCATCCAGCACAGAGCCGTCACTCACTGCTAGGTGGCTACTCTCGCCATGGCTCACGTTCCAGCAGAGAGAACTCAGATAAATAGTTCAATGAGAAAGGGCTCTGGGAACTGGGAATGGGAAACACCAGTTCAATAAGGGGAAGAGTCACAAGCTGTGATGAGAGAGTAGACCTTGAAGGATGGATGCGTGTTCATCAGAAGACGTCATTTCAAGCAGACGACAGTACAGGTGCCAGATTGTGCTCAGAACACTGGAGGAGCTTAAAGAAGTAGCTATGGCTGGACCAGAGACCCAGGTTCACAGTAAGGGACATCATGTGAGCTCAGAGGTCAGGCGGAGCTGAGGCTGTGCAGAATGTGAACTTCGGCCTGAGGAACAGGAACTGTTGGGAGGTGAGAAACAGGAGAGCTGTGATTTGGATTGAGCAGAGTGGTAGCCCATCTCCAGATGGTACCCAATGAGATTCACCTCTGGGCATCTAACACCCTCTGTCTCTTTCCACAGGGAGCAGGGCTGACCTGTGTAACTCAATAAGATGGTGCCAAATGTTGCAGTGTGACTTCTGAGACTAGATCACAGAAGACATCGTGGCTCCACCTGTGCTCTCTTGGATCACTTGCTTCAGGGGAAGCCAGGGACCACATCGTGAGGACACTCAGCTATCCCTATGGAAAGGCCCATGTGGTGAGGAACTGAGACGTTCTGCTAGCAGCCAGCACCAACTTGCCAGAATGGGCCATTTTGCAAGTGATCTGATCCTCTGTATTTGTTTCCTAGGTCTGCCATGTCGAAGTACCCTGAACTGGGTGGCTTCAAACAACGGAAACATATTGTCTCATAGTTGTGGAAGCTGGAAATCCAAAATCAAGGTGTTGGCAGAGCCATGCTGCTTCTGAAACCTGCAGGGGTTGGTTGTGTGTGGGGGGTCGTTTCTTGCCTCTTGTAACTTCTGGTGTTTGTTGGCAAACAATTTCTGGTGTGCCTTGTCTGGTAGAGGCATCCCTGTGATCTCTGCTCCTGTTGTCACGTGTGTGTGTGTCTTCTCCTCTTCTGACAAGGACATGTCATATTGGATTAAGGGCCCACCTACTCTAGTGTGACCTCATCTTAACTTATATCTTCATCACATCCTCAAAGACCCTATTTCCAAATAAGGCCACCTTCTGAGCTACTAGGGGTTAGGATCACAACGTATCTTTTTAGGGGAAAACACTATTCAACTAATAATATTCTCCAAATCCAGTGAGGCCTTCAACCAGCTGCAGCCTTGGCTGACATCTTGACTGTAGCCTCATGAGAGACCCGTTTTCCTGCCCCACAAAACTGGGTGAATTAACAATGTCCATGCTTGTTTTAAGCCATTAAGTTTTGGGGCAGTTTGTTCTGTGGGAATAGGTAACTACCATTCAAAGGGGGGTTAGGGAGTGAAAGACTGAAGCCAGCAGACCAGGACCTTTCTCTGGCCTGAGAAGCAACATGGTCCCCCAAGCAGTCCTACTCACAGATCTTCAGGCCACATCAGCTCTTGTCTCAAATCTAGGCCTTTGTGCACAATACATTTCATACTTTTATGCCTTTCTATGTTGTCCTATATAAACCCACTTTGTTGAGAAATTCTTTGAGTGGTCATTTCACTTGAGCAGCTCCGGGTTTCACTGAGAATCAGAGCGGCTAACTCACCGCCGGTCCTCTCTGAGCAGATCTGCTGTGCTGGAACACCTCCGGGTGCCTCCTCCTGGTTCAATACGCCATGGCTGGGGGTTGGGGGCTCAGATACCAAGCAGGGCCACCCGTGGGGAAAAGTGGCCTAGGTGGGTTTTCCTCAGCAGGGGCTCCGAACAGGCCTGTGTCTTGGGAGCGGACGTGGTGGGCTCTGGGACTTGGCAGTCTGTGAGGAGGCATGGTTTTTTCCTCTCTAAGAACAGGGCTTTTAAATCCAGTGTGAATACAGCTCACTGTGCCTCTCACTTCCCGTGTGAGAAAAACCACAGAAAAGCACAGCTGCACCTACATGAGAAACCACGCAAACCAAGCTACTTCCCCCAAGACTGGTTTAGCCAAAAATGCATTTGATTTCCTGTCTCCATGTTGTGGTCAAGATTGCCATTTGCTTCCTGCATTTCAGGACCACAATCGACAAAATCGTATCACAACCATTAGTCATAGGTGTATTTTTTCCCTGAAAATGATTTATTTTCCCATCCTCTACTTTGTTCTGTCAGCTGGCAGCCACTTCTTTGAATTGTAAAAATTACTTTGTTCTACCACCATTATTTGCTTTTCCCCTCATTCTACTTCACGAGCAATTCATTCTAAATTGTCGGTAGAAAATAACTCAGGGAAAGTTTGTGGTACTCTGCCCAGAAGGGCGGAATTAGGATCTTGCAGGTGCTTTTTAGATGTTTACTGGGTGAAGTAGTTCTGCCAAGTCTGTATTTAGAACTGGCCTCTCTTTCTCAGGCTTATTTGAATCATCTTGGCATAAAGCAATGATATGCATTTTTAGGGAATTTCTGTCTCCCTGGGGTTTGAGGCAGAGAAGCAGAGGGAGCGGCGGACAGCCACATCTGGGGCCGCTTCCGGCCTGCCAGCTCACGCCTGGTGGGAGCTGCACTGGGCGGGAAAGCGAACTCTGCCATTTGATGGGAGAGGTCCTGCTCCCCTTCCAGAGGGACTTCCTAGGGCGTGGGGAACCCGGGGCTTGCTCAGGAATTTCAAGTCCTTCCTGCTTATTCCCTGAAGACTTGACTCATCCCAGACCTTTTCGAGGGATCAGTGAGTCAGCAGGGGCTGGTGCTGGCTCTGCTTTTTCCCACATGGTTTATTCAACATGCATTCTACGAATAAAAAACTGAGGCCCGAGGTGTCCCAGTGAGGGGTAGATGGTGAGGCCATGGATGGAAACCCCATCAGTCTGACCGTAGAATCCATGTTGTTAATTATCCTGCCTAAAAGCCAGAAAAGGATCTGAAGGCCTACACCGGGGGGGAATAGGGAGTTCGTTTCATTTTTTTTCTTGCTTTATAAAATTGTGTGATGTTTAAGCACATACTGTTTAAAAAACTAAAAAGGGGTTCAAACTAAATGGCCACATTTAAGAGGCAAATCACTGAAGACTAATTATTCATTCTGCACTTAAAAAATGATCTGAAACAGCTACTAGGCATGAAGTCAAAATCCTTTTTAAAATGGCTCTGAAATGTTGGACACAAATTACACAGCAACCAGTGGCCTAAAAATGTCTTCACCATATTCAATCTGGTAATTTTGCATCTGGAATTCCTGACATGGGAAGCTCCTGCTCTGTGCCTGTTGGGTGATTGAATACATGCATGACTAAAGTAGGCCACCCTTCACGCCCTTCATGGTAGTCCTTGCAACTTATCTCTATGGGGTGCCAAGCATCGCTGCTAAGCATGGAGATCCTCTATAGGGCTCCGGATCAAATGATACCAGCATCAAGCCATCCTGCACAGTCAGGCAACGTGCCCAACTCTTGCCCAAAGCTACTGTGATTTATTAAGGTCCCTGGAATCCCCGGATGAGCTGTGTTGTACAGAAAGAATTCTATTACTCATACCTTCCCATGGCTGCCCCCATCTCAACATTTTCCAGTCCCCACCCGCCCTTCACCCCGAAGCGCTGCACTCTCTCCAGTTATTCCAGGTCCTGCCTACACATTCCATTTACTGACAGAAAATTCCATTACTGGCAGATGTGAGGAACACTTCTTTTCTATTTTTAAAAGCCGCTTTAAGGTCTACATTTCTGACGCTGCCGGTGGCGCTAGCATTGCCATTTCATCTGGATAGAGTTCCGGTTGGCCAGAATGGGAACGTTCCCCACAGGGACCATTTCTAGTCGAGCTTTTGCTTTGAGAGCTTGTTTCTTACCTCAGAAAATGTTTAAGGCTTATGAAATATTTACATGTCCTGGGTGAGTCACTTGATCAACAAGATTAAAAACAACAACAACAACAACAAAAACCCAAGCCACTACCCTGTGGATGTGTGAAATAGAAACTGGCATTTATTTTTGTTTTAGCTTGAGACCAATTGCACACTGAGAGATTTGTTAGAGGAAGATGTGCCTTGAAAAAGATAAATGTGAATAGAAAATAGCAGCTAATGTCTCGATGACTGAGGTTTAAGAGGAAGACACTGAGGGAATCTGCCTCTCCTACTTGTTCCACAGTTCCCAGGGTGGAATCTGGTGCCACAGAAGTGGGCTCCTGCCCTTAAGGCAGAAAGGTGGTCCCAGGGCTTGTAGCCTGTGGAAGTGCAAGGCTGTCACCATGATGGCCAGAGTCCGCCCCACAGACCACGTACTTTTCCTAGTCCCTCTCATACAAGCGCCCATAGAGAGCTGCCGTCACCAGCCCGGAGGACAGCCCACTCTTCCTCAGGAAATAGTGGTCCTTCTCCCAGCCAAGCTGGTCAGGGACTTCTAGGGTCATCCCCGAGGTCAGAAACAAAGGAAAGATATAGGAAGTACTGAAGTTGCCCCACAGGTGAAACTCGAATATCCCTGTGGCCTCTGTGATCTCCTGTCCACAGGTGCCGAAGCCAAGACCCCCACACCTGACCAAGGCACACACTTGGATGTAGTAAGTGCCATGTACTGTGTGAAGCCCATCAAAGACCCCCAGGGCATACAACTCTTCGGATAAGGTGGGCCTCTTGTAAAGTAAGTAACAGCAGAGGCCATTTGAACAGACGTGGAGATAGCCTTCCTTTCCCCAGACAGGGACCAGGGTGAAATTGTCATACATCATCTCAGAGTGAAATGTGGGAGGAGCATTCATGTTCCACTTGGTGGCTTCATCACAGTGGACTTCCTGAGCATCCTTCTCACAGTACGGATCGCCTGACAAAATTTTTAAAAACTTAGTATGGGATGGGTCCGTTTCTCCTGTTGCATTCCCTGCACCAATGAGACCCACTGGATTTTTGGCCACCTGGGCAATTATAAGGTGACCTTCGGGATTCTCCATGTCATGGTACCAAAAGGACTCCAGAGGGGTGTGTATGCCACTCCCTGTCATCCCCAGAACTGGGTGGTGGACATTAGCTGCCAGAACGTTGATGCCAAAGGCAACAGCAAAAGCTTTCTGAATCTCAATTGCTGCCAAGAGTGGGAGCTGGTTCATCCAGGCAGTCGGGTACACAACATGCTTCACCTTGTGGTCTCTGAGGAGTCTGACGGCAGGGTCAAAGAACAATATATCAAAGCACGTGAAGATGCCAAACCTGCCAGCAAAGGGGGTATCAAAGGTGATGTGATCCACGTTAAGAGGAACATCAAATGCTGCCTCAAAGTACAGGTTGTGTTTACGGTAGCGGTCAACAAGGGTTCCCTTATTGCTGAACACGACATTTGTGTTGAACTGGTATCTCCCATCATTTGGGCACCCTGGGTCACTGCTATGACAAGGCTGCTTTGTCCCAAGATTGGCCACCAAGAACATATCTCCCTTGATGGCCATACAACTCAGGCGCTGGAGCACCTAGAGGAAAAAAAGGTATCAATATATGAGCTTTTAAAATCCTTCCTTTTGCTTCTTTTATTTTTTTTTCAAGAGACAGGGTCTTGTTATATTGCCCAGGCTGGACTCAAACTCTTGGCCTCAAGCAATCCTCTCGTCTCAGCCTCCTAAGAAGCTGGGACTACAGGTGTACACCATTGTACTTGGCTCTCACAATTTTTAAATACAAAACTACTTATATTGTATCCATAATAAACAGCTATCGTATATCAATAAGAAAAAAGCAATCACTACTGAAAATGTGCAAAGGATATAGACAGGTGATTCACAGAAGAACAAAGAAAAATGGCCTGCGAACATCTCAAAAGATGCTCAGTCTCATTAGTGAGAGAGAAATGCAAACTAAAGCAATGAGATAGCTATCATTTCTCACCTGCATAAGACTGGCAACAATTCAAAAGATTATTCTTTTTCTTTTCTTTTTTTTTTTTTTGAGGCAGGGTCTGGCTCTGTTGCCCAGGCTGGAGTGCAGCGGCACAATCTTGTCTCACTGCAACCTCTGCCTCCCAGGCTCAAGCCATCCTCCCACCTCAGCCCCCCGAGTGGCTGGGACTACAGGCATGCATCACCACATCCAGCTAATTTTTGTAATTTTTGTAGAGACGAGGTTTCACCATGTTGGCCAGGCAGGTCTCGAACTCATAAGCTCAACCTATCCGCCAGCCTCGGCCTCCCAAAATGCTGGGATTACAGATGTGAACCAACGTGCCCAGGCTCAAAAGATTATTCTATCTTGCATTGACCAAAGGATGAAAAAAGAGGCACTCATACTGTATTACTGGGGCTGTAAAGTGAAATCAAATCAAAGTTTTTAAGGGGGAAATTTGGTACTCTTTAATATCATTTAAAAATGAATATATCCTTTGAGGGATTCCATTTTTTTTTTGAGGCAGAGTTTTGCTCCTGTTGCCCAGGCTGGAGTACAGGGGCGCGATCTTGGCTCACCGCAACCCCTGCCTCCTTGGTTCAAGTGATTCTCCTACCTCAGCCTCCTGAGTAGCTGGGATTGCAGGCATGCACCACCACCCCTGGCTAATTTTGTATTTTTAGTAGAGATGGGGTTTCTCTATGTTGGTC